TTTACGGTAGTTGTTAAGTTGGAATAACCATAACATATGCATATTCCATCAAAGGTGACAGAACTTAAAACTGGGCAAAAACATGTTAGCTGACGCAAAGCGCGGGAAAAAACGATCGAGTAATTGCAAGATAGCGGGTGTCAGTAAAACGCGGAGTCGGGACGGGGCTGGATCGGGGTCTATCTTTTTTTAAAAAAAGAACGCTGTTTTAAAGTTAGGGTTAGAGTCAGCACTAACCCCTAACCCTAACACAGCGTAGACCCCGACCCCACGTTTTACTAACACTCCAGGATAGCATCTCGGTGTTTCTGCTCTTTCTTATACTGTGCCTGCACTGCAGTATGTAAAATGCAGCACGGATACTATAACATTTTGTCAGCCATGAAATTCAATTTGATGAGGGCAAAAATAGAGTCTCTATTTATTAGAATTTATGCCTCATTAAACTTTTAGGCATTCTCCTGGCTTGCATGGAGGAGAAATGAGTGTAATGGAATTACACTGCGTTAGCGTAAGTTTAGGTAACTAGTTCAGGTAACTTTCACGTCAAAAGCTCAAAGCTGGAAATACACAAAAACTCCTTGTCCCGCTTTGGTGCAAAACTTTGGAATGAGATGCCTTGTCATATTAGAGATCTTCCTAAAAAGAAATTTAGGAAAGTACTTCACAGATTGCTTTCGGATATCTTAAAAAGAGAAGATGACTATATTGAGACGCCCTTAATAGTGGCTTAGTTTTCTGTATTAAAGTATTTGTTTGTTTGCTTGTTCAGCATTAAAATAAAACTGTGATAGAAAATTAAACTTTTAGTTTTCCTGTTTGAATTCCTTTCTAATTTATTTTTCTTTTAACAAAACGACCAGGTCGTCTTAAAATAAAGTTGAAGTTGAAGTTAAGCTAGTATTCCAACGGCTTAAGTACGCATTAGCTGGCAGAAGCTGAGCTTAAACAGTAAATTAAACATCTATCCAACAAAAAGACCAGGTTGAAAATTGTGAGTCATCTAAAAAAAAAGAAGTTGAAAATTGTGAGTCTAAAAGCTTGAGAATAGCCCGAATGTCTTTTGGCTGTAGAGAGGATATGGGAAACCAAAGGAATAGTGAAAATGCATGTTATAGAACTACAGGAGGGAGAAAGGAGCTCAAAGTTACTTTTAGTAGTATTAAGGTTGACAAATAAGTTTCTTTTACGATTTACCTAGAGGAAAAACATGTCCTCTTTCTCTGTTTAAATTGATTGCGCACCAGCAGATGTGAACACACAAGCGGTTGAAAATTTATAAGCGCTGATTGACCGTGTTCGTATGGGTGACAAAATTTTAAACAGAAGAATCCCAAGCTGAACAAACATCAGCTAATTACGGAAATTATTAAAACACAATCAAATGATAAGTTCAAGGTGTATTGAAGAGAATACCAGTTGAAAAATAAAGTTCTCAAACTTGCCTTATATGATAACTTCGTATTACTTTGATCTTATTTTTCTCTCACCGGTATGTTAACACGTAGCAAATGAACTGGAAAAACAAAAAACCTGGACTTGTCACATTGTATTATAGGACTGGCTTATAATAAATACCCTAGCACGTTGAGCATTCAAGATCATGACAACCTTCCGGCTATTCTTGAATATAACTAATTTACCGCGTATCGCGTAGGCTACCTTTATTTTTTTCAATCTATTTTAATGCTACAAAATACACATTTACTAAAACGACAAAAAAGAAAATGGCATATATACAAGAAAAAATAAGTTAAATGTTTACATTTTGCTCATAAAATAACCAACATGGTAACTAAAAAATTAAAGTCCGAAGTTTGACCACTATTTTAACAAAACTGGAACGATTGTTGATAATTATAGTATATATTTAGCAACGTCAACATTTTAATTCATAAGGCTCAAAAATGTCATATTCTTTTAAGCTGATATAGAGAACATATTTTCCATCAAAATTAAATAGTTGAGGGTTAAACATGATGGCGCGTCCCTAAATCGCCAGAGATATTTTTCTCTGTGCCGAGCAGTACGCGCCCTCCGGTTTTGTTTTTCCTTCTTTAAAACGTTTTTTGCAATGTTTGTTTTTTTTTTAAACTTATCATTTTAGAGAGGCATCCAGGAACTATGTTGTGGAGCAAAAGTAATACCCAGAATATGGCTTTTCAAAATCAGATTTGATTCAAATTTAACGCTAAAACGGCTTGTATTTAATACCTTAATCCCGCAATGAAGAACTTGGTACTTCAGCACTCTGCAGCCTGAGATATTGTGAGCAAACGCCTTATGTACTTGCCGGAGTCACTACAAACGCGTCACTGAAAAGTTAGTAAGTTTTGACAATTGATCAACATGAATAACACTAAAGAAGAAATTACCTCTTGATACAGAAAACACAAAATCAATCATTCCGTTCAAATCTTCTTACCATGCCTATCCGTGACAACGTTTCGATTTACTGTGTAATTTAAACGTTTTACTGTTATTAGCAGTTCAATCTTGCAAACAGTTCCTTGTGGCTAAATTTGGCTAAAGCGGTTGACATAACGCCATTACACTATGTGTCTTGACAGCAAATTGGAACAGCTGTCAAAGATTTCAGGTGAAAATATTGCCTAGAATTAATCGTCAGTGTCGTAGTGCGCTGTGTTTTCAACAGTAAGCTGCAGGACACGGGACATGATTACTACAAATACATCACTATTATCAGTGCAGGGATGAGTAACATACGTTTAACCTCATAGTTCAGAAATAATCATCGACGCATTAGAGAGAGTTAAATTGACGTTGGCGGCAAACGGTATCCTGCGAGCAGTGGTTTCTCCAGGCCGGACGTTGCGTAGCGTCCGGCCTGGAGAAACCACTGCTCGCAGGGTAGGCAAACGGCAGACGTCAGATTCAAGCTGAGAATTTCTCAAAACAGAAAACGTGCAGCTAAAAACAGTCCAAATCAATTTTTAAGGACAAAACTAACCTGAAACTACAAATTTTGGGGTAGAAGTAATGAACAGTAAAGCACAAGTTAAGGGAAAACTTGGTCACGTGCTGCAAATTGACATTTGCTGTTTGCTGTTTGCCGTTTGGCGTTTGCTGTTTACCGTAAACGTAACTCTAAATCTCTTTATTGGCGGAAATCTACCACGAAACATTAACAAAGAGATTTCTTTGTTCGCACTAAAACGAAAGTGTGACCATGCCAGTAGCCATCGATCTGATTCTGGAACTATTTGAAGAACTTTTTGCCGCATGTTTTCAAATACTAACGGCTATTTGGGTATATTTACTAGGTAGTCAATCTGCCAATCGAAAAAATCTCAAGTTTTCTCCAAAGGAAATTAAAGTAACCTAAGTATGCAGTTCAGTAGCTCTTCGAATTAACTATATGGCTATTTGCAAGGCGTAACAGGACGTTTAGGAAATAAATCAGCTCGATATCGAAAATATACTTGTGAGGGGAAAAACACTTGTAATGATAAATTATTTAAAATATTCATAAAAACTAAATAAAAGTCGAAAAGTCGTACCTTGAAATATGACCCGCTTCTGCTAGAAAAAAAACACTACTCGATAGAACTTAAACGCCAACTTAACTAGTTTAAGGATAGACATGGACTAATAGCAGAATATAATCATTTACCTTGTTTCGTACTGTTTGGGGCCCACTGTTGCACGCCAATGTGGAAAATACGTGACAAGCGGTGAGTAGGCGGGGAAAACATATTATCGTGTCTACCATGCTACGGGGGTTTTAGTTTGCCATTGACTTCTTAAAGCAAGCGCGCCTCCTTATTGTATTTGATAACTGAAAAGGCTTGACTTTTAAAAATAACCAACTTTCCCCCAGAGCTATTTAGAGATATTGCTACTACACTGTCATCATTTTTGTGGAAGCTCAACTTTTTGCGATTGCATCACTTACATTGCACCTGTTTAGATATTGTAATTTCTCCTCAATTAAACACAGGCAAAGGCGGAATCCACTAGGGCATTGAGCAATTTTAATTTTCAGTGGGCAAAAATGTTCTACCAGAAAAATTTGAAGCATATTGCATTCTTTCTTACATTTTTTAAGGGCTTAAAAAGATATAATAAATCATCTGTAGCATAAACACCAAACAAAATTCTTATGAGAGCCAGAGAAAATGAATGTCAAATTTCACATAATTACATCTTACATATAAAATTTTCAGAATTTTACACCTGCGTAATGAATTAATGACTTCAGTTGATAACTTGTTTTAGTATATACTAAAACAGCGGATGGTGTTTTTCGCGCGCTCTGATTGGCTACTCAATCAGTGAGTATCCTACACTATTCACAGATTCACCTCCAGTCCCTCCGAGCGAGTGACGCCAAACTCACGTAAGTTGCGGGCAAAGTGCCTTCCCGGTTTGCGTAATAAACAAACAAAGAAATTTCACAACTAATCAAGCAAGCTGTTCCCGAAATACAAGAAGAAGGTAACGAAGTTCGGTTTGGAAGTTTTAACAGGTAAAGCCTTGTCTTTTTGACTTGATTTTATCGATAAAACCGGTGAAAAAGTTTTTTGCTTACAAATGCAAATTATGCTTAAGTCTTGCGTTACTTTATTTAGTTGACTTGTTCATAAACAAACTTAAAACTAAATTTAATAATCGTTTTTACAGAATGATTTTAAATACAAAAAGAATTCACAACTCCTTTTGAAGAAATTTCCCCGTAAGAGCTAGACAGTTGCCTTCAGTACTGTTTTGTTTGTCACAAGAAAAAGCGACGACCGCGGCCGTTCGGTCATTGCGCGCCAAAATTGTAATCATTGGCAACAGTAAATGAGTTACAAATCATCATTTTTGTGTTCAATTATCTCACTGTTTTAGTACATACTCAAACAATTATTCACCTCAGTGTTCGTGGCTAGTGTGGATATTTACCTCGCCGCTTCGCGGCCTCAGTAAATACGCGCACCACTTTTTTTCT